TTGGTGCTGCGGGAGCCGGAGCTGCGGCTGGTCCTGTCGGCGTATGCCGACGACGTGCTCCTCGTGGTCCAGGACCCGGGCGACTTGGTGCGGGTGGAGGTTTGCCAGACCATCTATTCGGCGGCCTCCTCTGCCCGGGTCAACTGGGTCAAGAGCTCTGGCCTGGTGGTAGGGGACGGGTGGCAGGCGAGCTCCCTCCCACCCGCGCTTCAGGCCATCCGGTGGAGCGCGGGTCCGCTGCTCTATCTCGGCGTTTACCTTTCTGCCACGCATCCGTCTCCGCCGGAGAACTGGCTAGGTTTAGAGGGCAGGGTGTCGGAGCGGCTCCGGAAATGGACAGGTCTGCTCCAGTGTCTCTCCCTTCGAGGGAGAGCACTGGTGCTCAATCAACTAGTCCTGTCCATGCTCTGGTACCGGCTCAACACCCTGGTCCTGGCCCCGGGCTTCCTGACCACCCTCCGGACGTTGATTCTGGAGTTCTTTTGGTTAGGACTGCACTGGGTCTCTGCGGGGGTTCTCCATCTACCCCTGGAGGAGGGAGGGCAGGGCCTGAAGTGTCTGCATGCTCAGGTCCACGTCTTCTGCCTCCAGGCTCTGCAGAGGCTCCTTTATGGTGCAGGTAGTCCGGCATGGAGCGTATTGGCGCACGCCTTCCTGCGCCGCTTCCGAGAGCTCCAATATGACCGGCAGCTACTTTGTCTCCATCCGAGAGGTCTTCCGCGAGGCCTCTCTGAGCTGCCGGTCTTCTACCAGGACCTCCTCCGGACCTGGAAACTGTTTTCAGTGACCAGGTCCTTGGCGGCCACCGTGGGGGCAGATCTCCTCGCGGAGCCCCTGCTACACAACCCCCAGCTTCGTGTGCAGGTGGCGGAGTCCCCCATGGTGCGCCAGAGGTTGGTCCTAGCAGAAGTCACCAAAGTCGGAGACCTCCTGGACTACGACCGGGGAGACTGGCTGGATCCCCTGACGCTCGCTCAGCGCATGGGGCTCTCCAGACCTCGTACTCCCCGGCGCGTACTTCAGGAGGTGAGGGCCGCTTTGCCGCCCGCTGCTCGGGACTATCTCGACCGGGTCCTGCGAGAGGGCACGCCCCACCCACCCTCCACTCCGAGCCCTCCAGACTTTTTCATCGGGCCCCTGCCCCATGGACCCAACCAGCCCCCTCCCCGTCCATTCGCCATGAGCCGGCTGCACCATCTACAGCCGGTTCTGTTCCGGACCGCGCCAAGGAAACAGCTATACACGCTCGTGCTCCATGTTCTTCATGTCCTCACCCTCGCGTCCCGCCCCGATACGAAGTGGCGGGACCTTCTTCCACTTCTGGAGGGTGAGGAGCCCCGGTGGGCCAGCCTTTATTCTGCTCTGATCCCGAAGCCCACCGGGGACATCAGTTGGCGGCTCCTTCATGGAGCCGTGAGCACGGGCGTGTACTTGGCGCGGTTTACCCCTATCCCAGACACCTGCCCCTTTTGCGGCGTGAGGGAGACCCTGGCGCATGTTTACCTGGAGTGCGCCAGGCTGCAGCCCCTATTCCGGCTCCTCACGGATATTTTGTTAAGGTTTTGGTTGCACTTTTCTCCTCACCTTTTTATTTATGCACTCCCTATCCGTCGCCCCACAAAGTCGCGGGACCTCCTCGTCAACCTCCTTCTGGCCCTAGCGAAACTGGCCATCTATAAAACCAGAGTGAGGAGGTTGGCCGATGGAGTTTCCTGTGACTGTGGGGCGTATTTCAGGTCCTCCATTCTTTCACGTATCCGGGCAGAGTTCCTCTGGGCGGCGTCCACTGGCTCCCTTGATGCCTTTGAGGAGCAGTGGGCACTGTCCGGGGTTCTCTGCTCGGTGTCCCCGTCTGGTTCGCTTCGTTTGACCCTTTGACCTCACTCCTGTCCCTGTTCTTTTATTAGTTGTCCCCCGTAATCTTTTGGTCTCCAGGTCCTGTGGACCCCCCCCCCCTCCTTAGGCTGAGGGGGATCCTTTAGCAGTGGGCGGGCTTCGCCCGCCCACTTCCTGGATCCCAATAGGTCTGGTCACTCAGGGAACAGAAAACTACTCATCCAGTGACCAGTATATTTGCCCTCTACCAGACTCCTGTACCCCACTGGTCTGGGTCTGTCACAATTGTAAGAAACTGCTATTGTATTAAACTGCTACCTGATGTAGCAAATGCCTACAGATAGCAGTTTCTTGCACTAAAGTGTATGTGAAATTGCTACGAGTAGAAATGTGCTATCAGTAGCAGTTAGTGATACGTATAGATTGTAAGAAACAGCTTTTGTAAAAATATGCTACTTTATTTGTACATGCTTGAAAACTTATCATATTTCCATCTTCCCTCATAGGTCGTTTTCTAGACCTTAAATTTTCACAAACTTTATAAGTCTACTTTCTATGCCATTATCTCAATCATTAAGATTTTGAATAGAAACATATCCACAACTGATCCCTGGAGAACCCCACTCGTTATGCCCTTCTTATTTATCATTATGTCCATCTAGGTTTCATTTCCATAGTTTGTTTATGAGAAGGTCATGGGAGACAGTATCAAAAGCCTTACTAAAGGCAAGATATACCACATCTACCATTTGTAGGCTTGTTACACTGTTAAAGCTATCAGGCTGGTTTTACATTTGAGACTGCTTGAAATACCCTTTTTAGCAAAGTTGGACCTGTTGCTGCTGCACCATTGGTATGTGAGACTGCTATCTGTAGGAATCAGCTACATCAGATGGCCTTTTTTAGCAAAGTTGGACCTCTCGCTGCTGCGGGTAGCATGTTCCTACAGATAGCATTTTCACACATACATGTGTATGAAACTGCAAACTATAGGGATGTGCTACCTGTAACACTGCAATGTGATGAAGCTAATTCCTACAGGCAGCAGTTTCTCACACTGTCGGTATGTGAGACTGCTGTAGGAATCAGCTACATCAGATGGCCTTTTTTTTTTTTTTTTTTTTTTAAGCAAAGTTGGACCTCTCGCTGCTGTGGGTAGTGAATTCTTACCATTAGCAGTTCCTGAGAGCTGCGAAGGGCCGTACCTGTTAGCCTTGTGGTGTTCTGAACAACAATTATTAGCTATTATGCTAACAGAAAGTGAGATGGATTGGGTATGAGCTAAAGATATGACAGTCTTAACTCCTCTGCTTACAAAACATGAAAATAACCTTTTCCTTACATATGTTTCTGGATGGTACACAGCTGTGGCTGTGCTCAATTAGGGCCCAGCTGGCCCTGATAAGAGGGCTGTGAGCCAGAAGCTGGAGAAGTCTTACTCTAGCCCTGGAGTGAGTGGGAAGGGGAGTAAGGTACCTGAAGTGGAGCAGTGCTGGGGAAGGGCAAGGGGAGTTGGGAAGCTCCAGCCTTTTAAACCCCCAGGCTGCAGGCCTTGGTGAAGTCCTATGAAAAGGTACTGGGGCTGCAGAGGGGCAGCCCCGGGATATGCAAAGGCAGCAAGTCCTAACCCCTTGCCAATGATGAGTGTCCATTACACTGCAGTCTGCCCCAGTGAGCGGGGGCTAGATGATGACTGGCAGTAGCCACTGAGGCAAGGTGGGTTTAGAGGGTTGGGGGTTCCCCTGGGAGGGGAAACCCAGAATAAGGGGTTACTGTGGGGGCAGCCTCCCAAGGTAAAGGGCACCGGGGTCCGGCAGGGACATGGGTGCCAGCGGCAGGTGAGACACTGGCCAGTAGGAGGTGCTCTGTACACTGGAGAGCTAATTCCCTAGACGACCAGCAGGAGGTGCTGCGCTGGTGAGTTGCGACCTGGCTACAGTGCCATTGGATTAGAGGAGATTTTGTGGCAAGAACCACCAGTAGAGCAATGTATGTGAAATATAACTACATTAAAAACTCCCATCTTAACCTATTACTTCCCAACTCATGAGGATAAAAGAACTAACACACTGGATAGCAGTAATATTCTAAACTTTAACTTTTCTTTGTGGGTCAATTGGACAAGTCTGTACAAACTAGTGAAGAAAAATAACCAAATTATCCAACTGACTGAAATCACACAGGCCCAGGTTCAGACATGCAGTTTGGCTATTTTACATCAGGGATCTGAAATATAAAGAGTATCTGCACAAGCAGAACAAATTATAAGGCACCATTGGATCTAACTCTGAGTTGTGAAGAATATGTATTAAGGCTATAACAACCAACAGGAATGCACTTTTATCTAGAAAACCATGATTACATTGAGTCTTCATGACTAGTGATTTAAATCACAAATCCACCATGGTTTATGGCCAGTATCACAGCCTTATTTATACGTTTATTACTCAAGAAATCTTAATTGACACTTTCACTGTATGACAAGATGCTTAGTCGCCATTCTCAAAATACCCATTAGACAAACTCCAAAAATGTGTTTGGTATCGAG